AAAAATATGCATCGTTCAACTTCAGGTCTTATATAATTACTCGTAATTAAATACTAATCGTAAATCATATACATGCATGTCACATGTGAATATGTTTATGACAAATATCATATAATTTTTATGCATGTTCGATTCTTATAGCACTAGTCAACCCAAACTCAATTTATTTAACTAATTGTGTCGTGTCGATTGATCTATTTATTTTTGTGTAGGGTTCGTGTTCATATTCATGTTGACCCATATAAACCTCGAATAAATAACTTAACTCTAAGATTCTATTATCAATTAATTGAATTTATGTTCATACTTTTTTTATAAATTAAAAATTAACTTAATAAACATAACAACAATAATAAGTAAAAATATTTTTTTGGTACAATAATTATGTCAATGTTTAATAAACAATAACAAATAATTAGTATTTTATTTATATAAAATTAGTTAAACTTGTTAATTGTATCGATTTCGTATTATTTATGTTTGATACTAATACAACCTCATTTATTATTCGTGTTAATGGGTCTTATTATTTTCGGGTTTGCGTTGAGAAATTATTAATTTTAACCCGTTAATTTGTGTCGAGTTCTAGTTGTGTATTTGTGTTGTGTTAGAGATTGTCACTCCTATTAATAAATAATTTAAATATAATATTTTAAATTTGAGATATCTAAATATTATATATTTAAAAATTTTAAAGATTTAAGTATAATTTATTAACCGATATATTATGAAAAAAATGTAAATATTACGTTGTATAAATTTTTAGAGATTTGTACGTAATATTTTAAGTGTCAAGGAATCCGGACGTAATTCAGCCTATATTTTTTCCACTTCTCAACGATGGAATCCCTCGGCTGAAGAAACGTGGTGTGGTGGCGGAACCTCTATTCCATTTGAATTTCCTCATCCAAACCCTTCCCCGGTCTCTCTTTCTCTCACGCACACACACACGATGCTCCTTTGCATATCCTCTCATTTTAGCGAGAAAACCCTAGAAAAAGTTCCAAGCATTCCCAACAAATAATCAAAACAAAAATGGCACCAACTTCTCGGACCTTTTTACCCAAAAAAATGAAGAGAAAACCCTCTCATTCTCGAAGCCGACGTCGGCCAAACAAACCCCTAACTGGCTACAACTCCCACCGGACGTGACGGCCTCAATACTTCACAGGGTGGGGGCGATACACATACTGACGAGTGTAGAGAAGGTGTGTACCACCTGGCGGAGGATATGCAAAGACCCGGCGATGTGGAGAGTCATAGACATGCACAATTTGGGGGATTTGAATAACATCCCCTATAATCTCGAGACGATGTGTAGGCATGCCGTTGATCGGAGCTAAGGTCAATTACTCGATATTAATATCCAGTACTTTGGCACCGAAGAATTGCTCGAGTACATTGCCGACGGTATCGGACCCTACTTGAATTTCATAGATACACATGTTTTTGTGTAGTCTAGGGTTTATTTTTTTTTTTGGATATATTACATGTGGACCAAACACTATGTGGTTTAGCAAATTATAAATAAACATGTAAGATTCATGGATCGTATCAAATTCTATAACTACCGATAAGCTCCGCATTCAATCACTAGTGGGATTTTGTTATCTGCATTCAATCACTATCATGTGGGATTAGTGGGATTTTGTTTATTATTGGGCGGGCATATCATGTAACAGTGATGATGTGTGTATTTGTAAGACAGAAATACACAAATAATCACCGCTTATTTAAATTGCAACATCAATAAGAGGTGATGGTGCAATATGGAAAACAAAAATACTATATATGTTGCCTTTGTTTTAGATCGTTTTTTCTATGTGGAATAAGAGGTCAACGCTGTGCAATGCATGGGATGTATAAGTATAACCCATCATCCCCTTTTTCATTTTCCTTCCTCATTATTTATTGTCTCTCACCCTGTCACCCATTTACTTAAGAAGTTATATAAACAATTATAAAAAGTTATGAGATAGGAACAGTAAATTTTTAAGATGAAGGTAAAAAATAAATAAAAATCACGAGTACATTTTAAGGGTACATTTTACATCAATGAAGGTGATGGACCAGATGGTAGATCAATAGCGGTGAACCCAAAAAACCAGCACTGTTCAAGGCTGTGAACAGTTCTGGGTACAATATTTTTTGGGGTTGGATGGTACTTTGTGGGTTAAGGTTTGATGGATTGTTTGGAAAAGGTGTAGAGTTTTGTAAACTATTTTTAAGGATATAAATATTACAATTTCAAATCTGTTCGTTGATTTAGAACTCAAATAATTGCAGAAAAATCAAAGAACAAGAAAAATAAGAAAAGACCTAGGAATCACTCCTAGGGTTCCATCGGCATCACTTGTAGGGTTTTGAATTACATCTCACAATTCCCATAACACATAGCTGCTGAAAAGTCCTCAAAGATATTTATCTCTATAAATTAAACCATGCCTACGTATAGACTTCAAAGTATTCCTAATCCTAAAAGATTAGGATTTTAATGTCTCTAGGACTCCAAAACTCTAAATTACTTAACATTAGGAAGTTAACATAAACTAGAACTAGGACTCTAAATTCTAAAATATTCAATACTAAAATTTGACCCAAAAGATGACCCACATGTCAGACTATGACCTGTTCCAACAAATCTTTAAATTACAAAAATACCCTTAACTCTTAAAATACAAAATAGACACAAAAATAATAATATCAACACCCTAACCTAAAATAATTAAAGAATAAGACTCGATGATAAGTATGCGACGTCCCATGGTGTCTTTGTCTTGGTTTCAAATCAAATTTTGTAGTTTGTCACGCCCTTGAATTTGTCGGGCTGGAAAAAAATTGACCTCGAGAAGTATTGCAAGATTAAAGTACAAAAGCTTTGAACTTGCATATGTAATTGTCTTCGAAAAGTCTTAAGATGATGTCTCATTTTCTTCTTGAATTGAGGAGACAAAGAAGAAATTTGAAAATCAATTTTCTCAATTCGGCTGTCATCAAATTTTTCTGGAATGACAATCAATTGTGGGAGTAAAGTGAATAGAGATAACATCCTTGAATTAACATTGAATTGTAGGACTTATAGTGTGCCTTTCAATTGATGTCTTCCCCTTATTCATGGTGATATCTTATTTCGCTATTACCTTGAACTTTTCTTGATCGATGGTAGAATATGATAGTATTGGTGGATTTTTATGCTTATACGCAAACAAATCAAACCCTTTAGACACTGATGCCGCTGATTAAAAGTCATTAATGCGAGGGATTTCATTAGGTAGCTCTTTTGACATTGTTTCAGAGCACTCAAATTGTAACTTAGTCATCTTTAAGGACAAATCCAATTCAATGTACCAGTTGTTGGTTTTTCCATCTTCTTAGGCTCCACAGAATGAATATTGTTTGAATAATCATTTTTTCCCTTAACATTTGGACAAGTAAGTAGGAAAGTTGCTTGGGGTTGTATAGGTTCTTCTACTTGGTCTCCTCCACCTTGAATTATTGGATTGGTCGTTATGAGAATGCAAACACCTTTGAGCTTTAGAACTTTGGGAAGGAAAGCATGATAATGTATTTACTTAAGTAAAGAAATTTAGATACATTTCCAAACCAAGTGCCACTTAGAATACATGCTCCACACTATATAGTGATTGTCATTGTACTTCTAACCTTATATTAGCCCTTAAAGCAACCTTGAATGAAGCAATTGTTTGTCGATGGTTTTCTACAATTCAACTTTGCACCATTAGATTTTCAATTAAATTAAACCATTACATTTCTATATAGACCTCCAAGTATTCCTAATCCTAAAAGATTAGGATTCCAAAGTTTTTAGGACTCTAAATTACTTAAAATTAGGAAACTAACATAAATTAGAACTAGGACTCTAAATTCTAGAACATCCAACGGGTTAGACTATGACTCGTTCCAACAAATCTAGAAATTACAAAAATACTCTAAATCTATAAGTGTAAAAAAGACACAAATAATTAATAATACCAACAACCTAACTTAAAATAATTAAAGAATAAAATTCAAAGATAATTATGCAACCTACAGTTGGTAGGCCAAATCCCCCAATAAACCTCTCGTCAAGTGATTGAATTGAATGAAACCCGATTCAGAATCGACAAAAGAGCGGAGTCATTCCCTTGACCCTAAAATCTAGTTTTCATTGAAATCCCTCCTCAACCTCAACCCGATGCCTTAAAGGCGTTAAAGAGAACCCAACTAAAGAGGTTTCGAGACATTTTCTAAGGTTCCAAGGGGTTTGTATTTTGGTTGCAAGCCAAATTTCATAGTTTGTCGCGTCCTTTAATTTGTCTTTCCATAAACAACTTATGGACTATATCAAGAGACCTATATCAAATTAAGTTTTTTACTTAAATTTGAATAAGAGTTTGAGTCACTATTGGAGATGGTCTTAATAGAAGTGAATAGACTCATCTAGTTAGCATGAAACTGAAGAAAATGGTTTTAAATAAAATAAAATTTTGTCGTTTGTATTATTGGTTTCAATTGAATGAAAGTTCACTTCATTTGGAGGAATTTGATTAGTTTGCCTTAGTGAGCTTATAGAGATGTCACTATGTCCTTGTATTGCCGTTCAATTATTGGTAGGATCAAAATTAGTTTCCTTTTACCAATGTTTGGTTACCAGTAAAGGAAAAGAAAAGAAAAACATAACTGAATTGTTTACCATGTTTTGGACTTTCTAATGAGCTCTTTGTTTTGGTTTTTTATTGTCCTTTGTTAAGATAAACTCTCATGATTCATGAAGTTGTGAAAAATTTAACCCATAGGCTGTTGTGATCTTGAACTTTTGTTATCAAACTTTGTGTTTGATTTGTTGTCCATGAAAAAGTGTGTGGACCGTGATTCTCTGGAGCTTCTATAAATTTCAACCTTTAAGTTGATGGAAATTTTAAGGTAAATTTGAAGTCAGCTGTTCTTTGGTTTTACTCACATTTTTAGGTTAGATAGCCTATGCAAATCGTCTTAAGCTGATGCATGGAAAACGTATGTCTCATGCATTTGGGTCTATGGAATGCGGAGCCAAGAGGTGTGTTTCAAGTTTGAGCTTGGCTTTGTTGGGCAAGCTTGACTTTAGCTCAGTGTGTGCTGTGGTAGCTTATTTCTGAAATGGTTTGATCATGTTTTCCTGCCTAATAGTCTTATTCAGTAGCAACGTACTTTGATTTAATCAATGGGAACTAGTAGTTACTGCACCTTTAGAAGATATCTGGATATTAAAATGTATTTGCCCTTTTCATCTGCTGCCTTTTGAATGTTTGTGCATGCATCAATTTTTTTATATATAGTTACTGTCCTTTTCCTGTAAGTTTTGAACCATGTTAACAGATCAAGTCAGCTGAGATGCCTTCGAGTGATGACTTGCCATTATTTATCAACTGAAAGTTTGAATGTAGTAGTCCAAAAACTACCATTGTTGGAGGAGTTTCATCTTTACTACACCTACATTCACAAAGAAGCTATTGAAACCAATGGTCGCAGTTGCCCACTTTTGAAGTCATTCACATTGAACCAGAAATGGATTCCACAGTCGCCCATGGATGAGAACGACGATGATGATGAAGTGCTAAACGACGATGATGAGGTGGTAGCTATTGCAAAAAACATACCTGGATTACAGAACCTTCAACTCCTTGGAAATTATTTGACAGATATTGGCCTGCAAGCCATTCTTGATGGTTGCCCTCACCTTGATTCACTTGATTTGCGACAGTGTTTCAACGTCAAGCTTAATGGGGATTTAGGCAAAAGATGTTCAAAGATAAGAGATCTGAAGTGTCCTTTCGACTCCACTGCAGGCTATGAATTTGATACTTCACTCGGTGATGATATGGATCCACCAGATGATGAAATATCTGAGGATTTTTTGTGGTGACTATCAGACTTCCATTAAAGCGGACTAAACTGTGTGTTATGGGTTGTGTTTTTGACTACCGGAAACCATGGAAGATGCCAAAATTCAATGTTTTGTGGTTGACGAGGCAGACGTTCTGTGGTTTGACGAGGCATATCGGTCTGGATCTTTTAAATGACTGCTTGTCCCAGTAGATGAGTATTGTGAATTCTCTGGTGGCAGCAACACTTTTGACTATTTATAGCTGTTTTTCTTATAAGTAATGTTATTAGGACTTAATTTATTAACCTAATTTGCTAACTTAATTCATTATAATTTTTGGATTGATTGTTGGTTCCATCAAACATTGAAACTTAGTGTTGATCTAATGGTTTCATTGAATTCAGATCAGTAAATCAGTAAATTAGGTTCTAATGGCATTCGAGCGGATTAATTCTTGACATGACCTGTTAACATAAAAATGGAGCAGGTTAATGGCAAACACAATCCTATTTTAATTCCACGAACAATTTTTACTTACCTTTGCTACATATTGAGTTTAGAGTATTTTTAGTTTTTAAGTATATTTGGATGGTGTGTTTTGTTAAAAGAGAAGGTCCTAGGCTCTTTGCTTGGGGGGAGCAACCTGCAATCAGAAATTATGGCATTGGATCTAGGATTGACAGTGTCATGTTGGGATCTAGATTCCTGTGAATACAATTTTCCTTAATTTTTGTAGGTGATTTGCTTTTGAGCCAAATTGAGTGAATATATATTTGAGAGAATTTCAATCCATTTTGATGAATGAGGGCAATTGTCTCTGATGGTGCTCAAAATTTATGGCTCAAACCCAACTATGATGGGATGGTGTTTTGAAGTGGTTTTGTATATTATGGATTAATCTTTAATGATCAGTTCGATTGAGAATATAAATGGTTTACCTTAGCCGAAAGACTAAGGTTATATCCACTATCAACGGAGTCTTTTGTTCGCTGGATTTGTATATTCATTGGTCGGAGGTGTGCCTCTTGTAACTCGGGACTCGGAGTCCACTTACAAAGGATGAGTATTTAGGTATTTTCTCTCAGCTTTCTACGCTCTTAGGCTATTGAATATTCTCTGATTTTGGTGGGAGATAGAGCTGCTTTTGCCTAGGTTATCGTTTTCTATTTATATTAGTCTTTCTTAGGGCCTTTAGTTGTCCTTTCCTCTGTTCCCCTCCTACTTCTTTTGTCACCATCATCACTGTTCATCCGACTCCCCTATTCATCTGGCGCTGTCGTCTCCACGATCTCTGGTGGCTTGGTGCTCCACCTTCTCTGACATTGTTGTAGGTGTTAGGAGTGGTCCCCTGGATCCCTAGGATGCGTGGTCCCCTCTAGCGATCCAAAAATAGCTTGGACCGGGCTTTCAATCTCCAAACTGCTTTATGGTTTGAACTGGGCCTGGATTGTTGGGTTATAGGCTTTTTGCTGATGCTAAGTTCTCCTTCTCTACTCCGGGCCTCTTAGGCTAGTCAGGCTTCTGGGCCATCAAAGCTCTGGCCTTGAGTTTCGTCCGTATTAGTTGCCCCCCACCCCTAGGTCATAAAGATGTTATCATTTCTGGCCTGGGGTTAAAAATGACTTTTCTAGGCTCGTTATGGGTTTTCGAAGTGACGACTGTGTCTGACTATTGGTTCTGATCAGAATTGGGTCATGCCTCCGTTTGTCGACGATGATGGGATGGTAATGCACACGTGTCACCATTAGGTGAGCTCGTGGGTACGACTTTTGTGGCGTGTCCTGTCATTTGCCTGTCATGAATTTAATGCTTCACACATACATATACGTCCCTCTAGGGGGAAGGTCTCTTAGTTTTTTGTTCTGTGTCCCGAGTCCCACTTTCCTTCGTGCTCCTTTCCCATTCTGTGCTTTCGAAGCGTCTTGATCCAGACTCTTGGGCGACTTACGACATCCTTGTCTCTGGTTCTCCTCTTCCTCTAGCGTTTCACTAAGTATGTCCTTCTTCCTTTCTTTATGCTATTTCGACCTGGACCCATTTAACCCTTCCTGGTGGGGTTTTGGACTTCGCTTCCTGATCTGGAGGTTTAGTTATTTTAGAGAACACTCCGACGACCTTTCTTCCCTTTCGCGATTTGTAGGCCATTCTTCAGTGACGAGGGTATCCTTACTTGGGGTCTGGTGTTTGAAACCTTTATTTTTGGCGGATTGTGCTTGCATTTACCTTCCCTTCACTCTGGTGTGAGATTTGACCTTTTGATGGCGAAGTTTGTCGTTTCTTCTTCTGAATCGAAGTCTGTTAGTGGGGAGGCCGAGGAGACCACCACAGCTTCCTCTAGTGGGCGTTCTCTTTTCGCTGGCGGTGGAGCTCCTGAGTTCACTCCCGGAGTTTCATCCTCAGTGCCTCCAGTCGAAGCTGCGCCCCTTTCCGCCCTGCCTCTTGATTATCCGACTCAACCGAAGAAGAGGAAATCTGAGCCGGCTCTGCCCCCCGTTTCTAAGAAGGGAATTCGTCATGAGCCATCTGACCTGACCTGTTGTGCGGAGGGGACCTCCAGTTGTCTTGGTGATGAGGATTTGGAGGAATTAAGGCGTGAGTATCGCTTTCCTGATTTCATGGAATTGCATTCCCCGGGAAGCATGAAAGGTGTAATTCTATTCTCCCTAGATTCACTTGCTTCTTCGAGTCTGCATTCCGGACTGGTCTTCGATTTCCTATCCATCCTTTTATCCGGAATGTTCTCAGATTCTATAACGTCTATCCAGCCGAGCTGTCTCCCAACGGTTGGGGCCTCTTGGTTGGTTTCCTTGTCCATTGGTTTAAGAGTGGGAACTTGTCTCTTCCCTCTATCCGAGAATTTGCTTCCTTTTTTCAGTTGAAGTTTTCTCCCTCCCCAGGTTTCTTGTATTTTGCTAAACGGGTAAAGCTGAAGACTCTGATCTCCGGGCTTCTGTCTTCCAATAAAGGATGGAAACCGAGGTTCTTTTTTGCTAGGGGCGATTCTTGGGAGTTGTCAGGAGAACCTGGCGTCGTTCCTCGTGTTCCAAGATCTTGGGGGGTTCCAAGGAACATTCGTAAGGCTAATCTACTGGCCGTGTTCCCCTTTGTTACCTTATCTTCTTCTTTTTTGTTTCTAACTTTTGATCTGGTTTGCAGAATTCTACCCGGTAGTCGACACGGATGAGGCAGCCCGAGTTGCTAGAATTGAAGCCTTTGGGTTGAGGGATTTCTTTGACTTAGTGACTGACGAAAACCTTGCCAAACACGGGCTAGGACCGCCCATTATTCGAGCTTTAGAGGTTGCACCACCTTCTGCCTCCCAGTCGGGTAACATTGTAAAACCCGAGTAAATTTAAACTTTTTTTGAAAAACGGCAAAATGGTAATTTGCCACTACTATGTGGATTTGAAATAAGTATTTCTGTTAGACCTTGGATGAGGAAACAGACTTCACCCTTGGATTCGTATCGCAAAATCCAATTACCCTGCCAAATTTTGTCGAATTTTGAGATAGTTAGATTTTTATACGTAGTTCGAGGTGACTGGGTGACAGATGACCTCACGAACATCCCCATCAAATAGTTTTATAAAAATTTCTTATAATTGGATTAAAGTTTAAATAAAATTTATTTGAACTTAAATCGGGATGAAATAAATCATTTTGGGGCGAAAACAGACCCAAACAAGTGGGGGCAATCAATCTTCAAGCTTTCTCCTTCGATTCATGGAGTTCTGTCAGTCAGAATTCGTCGAGCCAATAGTTAAAGTTCATCTGCACGACGAGGGCTACGCGTACATACCAAAAAGAACTGATTTCACCGAAGATCTAAAGAGAGAATTTTGAAGAAATCAAGGTTTTTGGCTTAGGAGATGTTCTTGAGGCTTCCTACCATTTCTACTACGCTCCAAGAGGTAGGGTTCTTCCTACTTTGGTTTTATTCCTACCTTTTGGGCTGATTGAAGGGGTTGTTATATGGTTGTTTAGGGACTGTTTAGGGGCTAAAATTGTGGGTTGTTAAGGGGCTAAAATTGTAGTTGTTTTGGGTTGAAATTGTGGACTATTTTGGGTTGAAATTGTGGGTTGTTTTATGGCTTGTTTAGGGGCTATTTTTTGGCTTGTTTAGGGGCTATTTTCTGGCTTGTTTAGGGGCTATTTTTTGGCTTGTTTTGGGGCCGTTATGTGGCTTGTTTAGGGGCTATTATGTGGGCTGTTTTGTGGGCATATTATATGTTTACATTATGCATTGAGAATTAAGGGTGTTATTGCTTGATTATGTAATGACATGTTTGGTTGTTGCTATAAGATAAAATGTTGATATATGTGTATTAATATATTGACATTGAGATGAGTTTTTGGAGGTTATATGCATATAATATGATTGCCCATGATACATGATGAAATGTGTGATTTAAGTCGTCCATGTGACATTCATTACATATGAGGCATGACATTGACATGTAATGATACATTACATTGCATATGCATGGGGACATCGCATTCCATGGTTGTGGGTGCATGGTTAAAAGCAAACATCACATTTGGTGATTAATAAGTGGGTTTGGTACCATTGGACCAAAGTTCAACAGAGTCGCATGATCGCATGACATGAAAAATTTGTGTCGGGTATAACAAGAAGGGCTAAACACTCTTTCGGGTGAAAAACCCAATTACTGGTTCATACACTCCAATGATGAAAGTCAAAAAAGTGTAGATAGGCTTGTGAAGTCGATTGTGTGATTCCAAAATCCGCTACCCATAAAGATACATGATTTTGTTTATGAAATGATCATTCGAGGTGTAACATCCAACAAATTTTGGTTTATAAACACATGAATTTTATTTCAAAGTGATCATTGGATGTAATTCATCAATGACAGATTTTATTACACATTGGCATTGCATTGTGTGGTGGGAGTTGGTGAAGACTCGGGTTATAATGCATGAGTGAGTTTTATCTCATTTCATAGCATGGCATGGTAGAATTTCAATCTAGAATTGCGTATTCTTACTTGGAATGTTGATGTGAATATGAATTGTTAAATGTGAACATCGCACATGCACTTAGGTGGGGAGTAGCCTCTGTAGGAATTACTCTACTGAGCGTGACTCACCCTATACGGAAAAATATTTCAGGTGCGGGATATATGCTGGGGGACAGCTTTCATTCAGGGCCGCAAGGGTGAAGAAAGCCGACTTGTGGCTTTTATAACTCCTTTTGTAAAACTTTTGGAGCAAACTAGTTTTGAC